TCCTAAATGAGTGACTGAATCATTTCAAGTCTCGTTTCATGTGTTTCGCCTTCAGCTTTTGTTGGTTTTCGTGGTTTTGCTGCACATTTACGGCCTGTTTTTGCAGCTTTCCACTGGATTCATTGACATTTCTCAGCGCTGTGGATGTGACAGCTGTCTGTTCTGCTTGTGTTTATTGTTGCTTTCAGACTTCGAAGGTCAAGTCGTGTCTCTGCACATTTAAAACATTTAAAACAGCATTCAGCCAAAGTGCTTTACAGCAGAGAGCGTCTTTACAGATTTACACAACAAGCTGAAATATTCAGGTTAAAAACCGCCAATTTTATAAAGAAAAACAAACTGCTGGACTCACTTACACGCTTCTGGTTGATGTTTTCATGTGTTTTGCATTCAGATTTGTTGGTTTTACTGCTGATTCGTTGCCTGTTTTTGCAGCTTTACACTCGATTTGTTCATATTTATGTTGTTTTATTGCGTCCTGCCTGTGTGTTCGGAGGTGACAGGCGTCTGTTGTTGTATTCGTTGTTAGTTACGAGTCGTGTCACTGCACATTTAAAACAGCAGCTGTCGATCCAAAGCACTTTATTAAGTCGCAATTTTAAGGTTAAAACACGTTTCAGATCCTTGTTTTAACCGTCTGCCTTCAGCTTTGTTGTTTTTGAGGTTTAACTGCTGATTTATTGCCTGTTTTTGCAGCTTTACACTCGATTTGTTGATGTTTTTTTGCTGGATTTTCTCTTTCTAGGAGTCACACGTGTCTGTTGTTGTCAGTTACAAGACGTACAGCACATTTAAAACCACGGAGCTGAAGTTTTTGTGCAGCATCGTAGGAGTTTTGAGTTCATCTTTATTGATTTGTCGCCTGTTTTTGCAGCTTTACACTCGATTCATTGATATTTTTCTCAGATTTCCTCGTTATATTGTGACAGGTGTCTGTCGTCTTGATGTATTTGTTGTTACCTCTAGATTTTAAAGGTTTTTTTTAAATTTAAAACAGCAGCTCTTGATCTAAAGTTCTTTACAGTAGAGCTGGACTCCTGACTTTTCCCCAACAAGCTGAACTATTAAGGTCTGGACAATGTTGTATTTTGTGCAAACTGTACGTCACTAATCTACACGTTGCATCTGAGACTGTGAAGTATTCTAAAGCTAAACAAGTCACCTGATGAATTTACACATTTTCTGAGGCCGTTTTACACATTTTGCACTCAGCTTTGTCTATTTTTAGGCTTTTGTTTCCGATTTATTGCCTGTTTTTTGCAGGTTTGTTGATATTTTTCATGATTTTTTACTGCGTCAGGTGTCTGTTCTTGTTGTGTTTATTGTCAGTTTGGGATTTTAAATGTCTCGCTGAGTCACTTTTATTATATGAACTATAAAAAATAATGTCTGGGCTAAAAAAAACAACTGCATCAATCTTTTTAATGAAATTCTGTTAAACTGACAAACTAACAGGGATTCCTCTTCAGTCCAAAGTGCTTTTATGTTTTACGTATTTAGGCTGATTGCTCGTTGGGCCAATTACTATAATTATGAACACGAGGCTTTTAGTCGACGAAACAAAAAGAAATTAAGTTGATTTTCATGTTTTTGTTCGTGTAGTAGCCTTGAAAAGAATTAATGCATCAACAAAACTGTGTCTGAATATCTTTAAAAAAATGCGGTTATATGTTTAAACATGTGGTTTTATAATGGCAAACTGTAAATCTGAGTTTAAGTGATTATTATAGCGACAGTATGCATCCAAATAAATCAGAATTCTCATCTGGTATCGGTGCATTTAGAGTTTAGTTCGTTTAAAACAGCAACCGTTGAGCCAAAGTGCTCAATCTTAGAAAAAATACGTTTAAATGTGACTTTTAAGAGACTAAAGTGGGCAAAACGTACCTGATAAACCTCAATATTAAAGGTAGAAACCAAACAGTTCTGTAGTCGAGCAAATTGGCTGATTAATTCAGAAGAAAAACACAGATTAGGTTCAATAAATGGACTTGAGGTGAACATGAAGCCTGTTTCTGTTGCAAGAAAACCTAAACTGAGCCTCGAGGAAGCGTCTGTGAGAAAAACACCAACGAAGAAGAGCCTCGGGTTTGATCAAAGGTGAGAAAACGAGTCTGTCGGCGAGCGAAGCTGCCGCTGGACGTATTTAAACGGCTGCCGAGCCAAGGGACGGCTGGAGGACGACGGGCAGCAGCTTTTTACTTTTTTTTTACAGAATGAGATCAGCCCCGAAGACGAATCGCCCTTTTCTCCTTCGCGCCGCTAAAAGCCTCGTCTGGTATCTGGTCCTCGCCGCTCGGGGCTTTTACTTTGAGTTAGAGTCGCCTCTATCTGCCGGCTGCATCTCTTATCTGCTCTTATTATGTTAAAGGTCTGCGGGACCATGAAGCGCAGCCCCGGAGACCGTCCAAATCCACTCCCCTCGCTTATTGAATCTCTCGCTATCTGTTGATCCTTTTTTATGCCGTTCGTTACGACAGTCGTCCTTCTTTCCAGACGGAAATCCAGCAATTCTGCTCCTCAGTTAACGGCCCGTAAAATAGAATAAAACATGAAAACAGAGTGAAGGACTAAAGCTCTGCAGCTAATCTGGACGCCAGCTTAGTTTTAGTCTCTACTTTTTTTTTTTGATTTGTTTCGTTCCCGTCTCGTTTTGAGGCCGCGGCGTCGGCCATCTTTGTTGTGTATCGTTACCATGGTTACAGCTTGTTGTGTGAGCATCGTCAGGGCTGCAAACGTGCGTCAGACGTTTTTCAAATGTTTCAGACCAACTCGTTCGCCTCCTTGTAGCGTCTCTGAGCTTTTTGTTTTCTTTGGCTTTTTGTTTTCTTTGTTTTCTGGAGGCCCGACTTCGGCTGAAAGCTGCTCTGGCAGAGAAGTCGTCGGGGTTGTTTTTTAATCAACGCCGTCCTCTTGTTTCTTCCATCACGGCAGCCGCTTGACCTCCAGCTTCACGTGGAGACGAACTGCTGCTGCGGTGGAATCAAACCAGTTGTGGACCTTCAGGAGGAAACGTTAGTCGGCGTCGGCGGAGTAAACGCGAGTCTTGCTGCAGCTCCTGCTTGTCTGAGATTCTTTCGTGGCCTCATTTCACTGTTTCAGCTTTCGGTGATGTTATCCCCAAAACAGAGGAGGAGAGGAGGAGAAACACAGCAGCGTCACGCGAAATGACAAACATGAGGCAGAAGTGGAGCCAAAAGGATCAAAATAACGTAAAAATAAACAAAGTAAGACACAAAATAAAGAAAAAAAGGACCGTAATGAGACCAAAGTGACCAAAGAGACACAAAATGAACAAACTAACAAGAAAAACTAATTCAATTAGACAAGAAATGATTAAAAAAAAGAGTAAAAACAACCAATATAGGACACAAAATGACCAAAATGAAGAAAAAAAGGACCACAATGAGACAAAAAACAACTAAATGAGACACAAAATGATTGAAACATCAAGTAGAAAGGACTGAAATGAGATGGAGGAGGATCGAAATTAAATACAAACAAACAAATGAGGCACAAAATAAAGAAAAAAAAGGGACCATAATGAGACAAACAACAATGGAAACAGGGCAAAAGTGAAAAAAAAACAGACACAAAATGAACAAACTAAGACACAAAACCAATTAAATTAGACAAGAAATGATTAAAAATAAGGTAAAAAAAAAAAAAAGGGCTGAAATGAGAGAAAAAGGTAAATACTTGCATCAAAACAACCAAATGTGAGACATGGTGATATAAAAATAAGGAAGAAAGAACTGAACTGAGACAAGAGGCTTAAAATTGAATAAAAACAACCAAAATAAGACACAAAATTATTAAAACATGAAGCAGAAAAGACGGAAACGGGACGAAATGGAGTAAAAACAACCAGAATGAGACAGAAAATGGCCCAAATGAGATCAAAATAAGACAGAAAACAACCAGAGTGGACATAAAACAACCA